GCTACTGCTACTCCTACTACTACAACCACAACCGCTACGCCTACCCCTGCTACTACGAGTACTAGCACTCCTACCACTAGTAGAACTGCGACTGCCAATGTGCTACTGTCACTGCCCACTGCTACTGCTACTTCTGTTCCTATTGCTACGACGACTACTACAACTATTACTCCCACCACTGAGGTGGGGACAATCAACTGCGCATATCTTTGGATCAGGATTTTTATATCAGCCAGCAGCTTTGCTTGCCCGTGGAGCTCCCTTCCATCAGCCTTTTCATTGGCATGGCTCGTGCTCTTGTGCTCAGCTTGGTGCTGGCGTTCTCTTTAGCAGACGCAACTCCTTGCGCCGGCTTGTACGGTGCTGAGAGCCTCCAATGCGCCTGGGAAGAGGATGTGAAGAGCTGCTTGGAGACCAGCTGCCGCGGGTGTGGCGGTGAGCAATGCCAACTTTGCCGTGAAGATGCGCAGAGGATCGACACCTGCTGCCAGGATCACTGGCACTCGGTGGATCCGCCGCAGATGTGCAAGGATGCCAAGGCAGACCTGGAACCCAAGAATCCTTGCGATGGCTTGTACGGCCTCCAATGCGCCTGGGAGCTAGATGCCAAAAGCTGCGTGGCGGCCGCCTGCCAGGGTTGCAGTGGCGAGCAGTGCCAGCTGTGCAACCAAGATGTTCAGAGGATCGCCAGCTGCTGTGACGAGCACTACCACTCCGTTGATCCGCCGCAGATGTGCAAAGACTCCAAGGAGGAAGCTGTTACCAACTGCTTTGACAGCAAGTGCCGCGGCTGTGGTGGTGAGCAGTGCCAACTATGCCGTGAAGATGCTAAGAGCGAGTGCTGCACTGGATCCATGCGGACGCCTTCCTGCGAATCTTCCAAGGCCGTTCTTCCATAAGTGAGGAACCCGATGAAAATGTCGAAGCGTTCAGATTCGTGGCCGTTGGTGCCACTTAGAAGCTTGCCGGTATTCTTAGATCGATTTTGAGCTCATTTGAGGACAGAAGATCCCTACAGTTTTAGATCTAGCAATTTATGCCTTTAGGACCTGTCTGCATGAGGTTCCATTCCCAGGAGGACAGGATGCAACATCTTCAGACTCCTAGATGCGTCAGGGTGAAAAGGTGTGCCTTGCCTCTCAGGAAAGACGCTGAATCACAGCCACATCCGAGGTCTGCTGATCTGCCTGGCTATCCTTGGCCAAGGATTTATTCGGTGTGGTGGTGGTGGTGGTGCTGCTGCTGCTGCTGCTGGTGGCGGTGGTGATGGTGCAGGAACAGGACGAGGCGCCTTCACAACGTCACCGTGACGGTCTTGCCCATGCTAGCTGCCAGCTTGCACGTCGTCGCTCAGTTATGCGTGGGTTACCTGTTTATCGTCCAGGTCAAGTGCTTCACTCGGTCGAACTCCGCCACTCATAAGGTTACTCGTTGCAGAGGTGATGATGATACGGCAGCACTGATGATGATCGTCAGCGATACTGTTATTCCCGGCTTCTTTGTTGAAGCCGCGACAGTCAGACCTGGCAACGCAACAACGGCCATGCCCGAAGTTCATTCCTGCTCCCGGATCCAGGCACATGAATTCTAGCTGCTTCTAGCTAATTAATGACAGTGGATCTTTCAGCGAATCTTTCGCGTTTGGCATACTGCAAACCCCAAGCTCTTGACAAGAGCATCACGCAGGCGAAGGAAGGAAATCTGGACGAGGCCTCTGCTGGTGCAAACTTTCCTCGATTCTGCGATTGTTATGCGGAGCATGATGGGTTTGTTTCACATAATATGGTCGTCTAGTTGTCTGAACGTTGGTTCGTTCTTCTTACATGTATGTGTATGTAATGTATACTTCATACACACTTTGCATGTACTTGCGAAGCATCATGCATGCAGTACACACAATACAATACAGTACAGTACAGTACAACATACGTGCATACGTAAACGCTTGCATGCACACACACGCGCACACACACACACACACGCGCACACACACACACATGTATGTATATATATATAAATAAATAAATATAAATATAAATATAAATAAATAAATATATATATATAAATATAAATAAAAAATTATATATATATATATATATATAAGTTTATACAGACATGCATGCGCGCATGCATGCGTGCACGCACACCCGGCCCGCTAGCACGCTCGCTAGCGTGCGTGCGCGCTCATCCAGGCATGCATGCATGCATGCATTCGTGCATGCAAAGGTACACCACACACGCCCATACATACATACATACATACATACATACATGCATACATACATACATGCACCGCGCACACACACATGCATACACACACACACATATGAGTGTGTGCGCTCTGTTGTTCTGTGTTGTTTAGCTGCCCGGCGAATATAGACTTTGTGTTTATGCCTTTCTACACTGCCTTTTTGTTGTCGTTTATCTTAACAGACATGATCGTTACATGTCTTCATGTATAAAGACAGATTATGGTGAGCTACGGAATTCGTGGAAATTTATTATTACACTATGTATCATTATAGATGTCGTCACAAACTACACTCGATGCTGCAGCCGCACAGGTTCGCCAAGCGAAGGCTTCCAGCAGGTAATTAGGGAGAGCCGCGGCGGAGAAGCGTTAGCTGTTCTTGCCGGTTAGAGTGCAGGGCTTGCATTTGTGTTTTCACTATTTCGTTGGTTGTGCGCCATTCTTTTCCTCTGTGTCATCACCAAATCTCCTCGACTCTGATGGTGGATGATGATGGTCCGAAGTTCACGGGGAGTTTGATTGTAGGCAGCACAGCAAAATTGGACAGCAGTGCCAAACAGGTTCGATCTCGGAGAAAGTCGACGACCGCAGATGCGAAGGGTGCCGTCTTGGATGGCAGGCGCAACAGCTTACGTTCGGAACTTGCAGTTGCTACAGTTACTGTAGATGTTTGGGGATCGCAGTTCTTTCCTTACGACTTGCAAGATGGTGGTGGTGGTGATGATGATGTTGACCGTCCTAATCATGGCTATCACTTTCACCACGCTGCTTTCAACACACTGGCACCTGAGAGGCGACGCATCTCCGTCCTTGAGCAACAGGTGGAGCAACAGGTTGGTTTCCGAGCTTGGGGTTCAGGGTTTAGGGTTGTGCAGGATCCAATAGAGCGTGTATCCAGGATCATTGGCTGGGTGCACTTGCCCTTTTTGTGTTGCATGTGTCTCTAGTCGTCTGTACTGTTGCCCTTATCCTTGTCATTGCTAGGAAAGCGTATTGCCACTACTGCAGGCATGAATTCCCCGTAAGGGATGTGTGCACGCGCGTGACTGTATAGAAACTTGAACTGGGGTCCGCAATTAACTATTAACGGTCATCTATCTTGGGGCGGCGCGCAGTCTTTTCACATGAACATCTCTCTCTGTCCAGGTTTGCTCGCCGCAGCAGTGTTTTTGCATGAACATGTCTTTCTTTTTGCGCACGGAGAGAGACCCAAGTATGATCGCTGCGCGAGTGCCGCATGAACACATTGTCGTTTTTGCGCACGGAGAGAGATCCAAGTGTCGAAAGGGACTAGGGCATTCGAGAAGTAGGGCGCAAACTTTTGAGAAATAGGAGCAAGCCGTGCAACAGGGACTAGAGCATTCGAGAAAAAGGCCACAAACCGCTCGGAAAGTACTGGATCTTTTGAGGAACAGGAGCAGAACCCAATGCATGCGCTGCAAAACAGCGCATGAAATGCTAAAAGAAAACCACACCTGAAGTGCTGTAAGCAGGAAGGGAACCCCACCTGACATGCTGTAAAGCTGAGGGTGCCAAGCCACTGCGGCACCCTTTGGGTAATGTTAGACAGCTGGGTTTGCCAAAGCATTGCCACGTAGCTTACACTGCTATGCATGGCACGGAAAAAGTCTATCGCAGCCACAAACCTGTTCGCATCGCAGTCTTCCCAATGGCAGCGAGGAATATCCGGTATTGAGTGCAGGTGTTTGCTCAAAGATTGGCATTTCGAGAATGGCCGCTCAACAGGAGAGCCAACCCTCGACGATGAAAATTACTACATGCCTCTTTCATGATTACATGTCTCTATTTCTCTGCGCACGAAGAGAGACCCACGTGTGCTCGAGGAGTGAGCTATGAACATGAAGATATGTCGTTTTGTACACGGAGAGAAATCCATGCGGGCCCCCAACGTGAGAATGCCGCAGCAGTAGCCGTGAACATGTCTCGAGAGAGATCCAAAGTGTGCTTGAGGCATGGGACCGTAGCAGTCTCTTCGCGTGACAACATGTTTCTTTGCGCACGGAGTGAGATCAGTGCGAGAACGCAGCACAGACTTTTCGCATGAGCATGCATTTTGGCGCACGGAGGGAGATCCAAGTGTGCTCGCGGGCTGAGAACGCAGCAGTAGCCTTCGCGAATGAGCATGTCTGTTTGCGCGGGGAGAGATCCAAGTGTTGCTTGCACATCAGTCTTGCACCTCCAAGTTGAGAACGCACCTTTTTTTCCTCGCAAAAGCACTGATTAACACGTTTCTTTGAGCACAGCGAGATCCAAGTGTACGAAAAGACAGCAGCGCACTGAGCTCCAGAACACAGCAGTTTCGCTGATGCAGCTGCATGTCTTTTTTTGTCGAGTGCAGACATATTCACATGTTTTCACGAAGGGAGAAAAGCTGTACGAACGCTGCTAAAGTAAAGGGCACAATGTTTGCAAATGAAATGTCTGCACCGACGGAGAAACATCCACGTGTGCGTGCGCTGCGAAAGCTGCATAACAATGTGTCGCTATTCCATTGCTGTTGGGGTCCGTAGCTGAGACAATATCAACGTGCCTGTAGCATGCATACAAGAACCATCGTCGTTTGTCCTGCCGCGTTCTTTTGCTACTGCTACGAGTGTTGCTGTCGTTCTTCATATGTGCAGACAACTCCATGCCCCAAGAGTTTCAATCGCAAGACCCTTGAGAGGCCCGGCACAACCTCGAGGAGCTGCGGCGGGAAATTGCTGCAGAGGCCAGCCCACAGTCACGATCTCGACGTGTTTGCCATGTTGGAAACACGTCCTTGCCATCTTTCGAAGACAGTGCCATCTGGCTGCCTATGATCTTGCTGATGGTGGTGCTGATGGCGACCATGATGGTTGTTAAGATTGGCATGGTGACCAAACTGATGGTGGTAAGGAGCAGCACGAGTCTGAGCCGAGAGATTGTGGTGTTCGTCGAGCCGAGCCCAGTGCCACCCGTAACGAGCGAACAAGATTTCACTGCAGTATCAGTAGTGAAGTGAGGTGATGAAGAGTTGCTACAATGCGCTTCAGCAACAGAAGCATCTACAGCACCCGGTAGGAGCACGAGCTTGTTAGTTCAGGCCGCCTGTGATTCTGTTAAAGGTCATGGTGAGATCACGGTGGTAATGCTTTGTGCCATTTCATGGGATCTGTTGCGATGGCCCGTCTTCTCGGCCTATAGGGCCTCCTTGATCATTCGGCGTATCATCACTGTACAGCTTTCTGCTGCTACGAAGAGTCAGAATGATTGTCGTGCTCGTGATCGTCGGCAGCATCATTTATCATCATCTCATCCCCACAAAGTTCATGCGTGGTATCGTGGCATGTGGTGGGCGACGATCATGTCGTTTAGCTGGATGGTCACATACGTTGAGCTGCTCATTGTGCTTCGACTCTCAAGCTTTAGGGCTGGCAGGTGCCAGTTCTGGTGTTAACGGCTGCGTGTATAGCACTTGGGAGGTCATTGCCAGTTCAATCCATTTTGCAGCAAGATTTCAGAATACATCCCTCTCCTTTCAGGAGAAGGCACTGGCAGAGGAGCACAAGACGGTTCTGGCGGAGGCCACGTGGGAAAAGCTTCTGCGTCACAGATGCCACGTCACCCAGACTCAAAGACTGATGGATAGAAGAGGAATATCCACCGCAGCTGCGGAAGGTGCTGGTACTCACGGGCTGTCCAAAAGCCCGAAAGCTTACATTGACTCCAGAACCTCAACGCCAAAAGCCCTAGGATGTAAAACCCAAGCTGGAAGGCATCACGACGCTCCAAAGAGGACGAAGCACTGAACGCCCAGGACATTGCAAGTCGCAGCGTTGCTTCCGATTTTGCTGTTGCTTCAACGCTTGGGTCCTGTTGCTGTTGCTGCTGTTGCTGCTGCTGCTGCTGCTGCGGCGCTGGTTTTGGCTGCTGCTGGTGTGGGTGTGGGTGTTGGTGTTAGTGTTGGTGTTATTGTTGGTGTTGTTGTTGGTGTTGTTGTTGGTGTTGTGGTGTTGGTGTTGTTGCTGCTGCTGTTGTTGTTGTTGCTGCTGCTGCTGCTGCTGTGGTGGTGGTGGTGGTGGTGGTGGTCGTCGTCGTCGTCCTGGTCGTCGTCGTTGTCGTCGTTCTCGTGGTTGTTGTTGTGATTGCGGTTGTGGTTGCTGTTGGTGTTGGTGTTGTTGTGGTCGTTGTTGTGGTCGTCGTGTGTATGATGGTCCTTGCCGTTGTCCTTTCTCCTTTGTTCAGCTCTTGTTATCATTCGCGCTCCTCCTCCTCCTCCTCCTCCTTCTCGTCTTGCAGCTGCTGCTGGCGGCCGTCGTCCTTCTCGTCCTTCTGTGTTCGCAATTCTCTCTAGTGTCTCCAGTGACGCTTAGTTTCGTTGCGCTGTCATCATGCTTCTGTTTCTGATGGCATTCTCGCTGCATCTCGCTGCTTTCATTGTGCCCAGCATGACTCCCACTGAATGCAGACCAGGAGCAGGCGTGGCTGAAGAAGGAGGCGGCCGCTTTCCGAGCAAGGACGGCTGGAGCCGAAGTCGCGGCAGCGACCGTTGCGCTCCCAGGTGGTGCGGCGGAGGCCGGACTTTTGTCGCATTCGGAGAATAGGTTTCTTGCAGCGGCTGCTTCAACTGCCGGGGTCTTGCTGTGATTTTTCATCGACACATGACCTGCATTGCCCTCGTGTGCGAAGTTGAGCTCGACTCGTTGGAGGTTGGCATGGATTCCAGGAAGCAAATTCTGCGACAACTACCGGGAACTCTCTAGGACACCTAAACGGCAGAGGGTACAAGTGGTGGAGATTCCAAACGCTTTGGTCAGAGTTTCCGCCGCCACGATGTCGTCATGATGAGGATGAGCTGATGATGATGATGATGGTGATGATGGTGACCGTGGTCGTCACCAGAACGAAGCACTTTCGAACGAGAAAGGCGACCGCTGCTGCAGCGGCCGCTGCTGAAGAGGCAGCCACGAAAGAAGGAACCTTGGAATGCTCTTCAAGACACCACAGCCTCGTACGATCCCGTATAAGCATCCCGTGTAAATCCTACAAGCCCTGGCGAAGTGCAAAGGCTCGATGGTTATCAAAGAGCAGCACTAAGCGCACAATCTCTGGTCGTATACGCATCATCGCCACGGCTTTCTGGGTTAGTGACTGGAGTGACGTGGGCCCTAAACCCAAAACAGAGTCCCAAAAAACTCGAGGCCTCAGCCCGCGCTCGGCCGCGGACTGCGGAGTTGATGCAGCATCTGCAGCTGCCGAGGCTGCGCAGGGGGGCGGCGGGGCCGGGGGCTTCGGTCTGCAGCAGCTTTGGGGGTTGACCGTTTCGGGATGGGAGCTGTGCTCCTGTTTGCATGGCTGTTTTGGAAATGTTGGGTAATTTTGGCAACAGGGTGTCTTATAACCCTCAACCCTAAACCCTAAAGCTTAAACCCTTAAAATTGACTCCGCTGCACTTTGCAGGACTTGGCCCTGGTACAGGGTCGCGGCACCGAAGACGCCGCGGCATCAGCTGCGGCGGCTACCATTGCGGTGCGCGCAGCCCAGGCAGGGTTGGAGATGGACCAGCATCATCATTAGTAGTGGTAGCCTGGTATCACGGTTTAGGGTTCGAGAGGTCGGTCTTCCTCACGCAGAGCCTGCAGGCAGAGAGCTCTGCAATTGAGCGGCGCGCTCACTTGGAGCAGCGGCTGCGGCGACACAAGGAGGCCGAAACGTGGTCCCTCTCCTTTGCACTTTGGGATTCAGTCGTGGATTCTTGCCGCCGTTGTGATAAGTCTTTCTGGTGTCGATTCCCACCGTTTATCGATGTCGATGATGGTGATGATGATCATGATGATTATAGACCACTGATCAAGGAAAGGCTTACGGTCATGCCCGTTGGAAACAGATTTCGAAGACGTCATTCCGGTATCTTGTCTTTCTGTAGCCTTCATGGCCTGCTTCGTTGTTGCAGTCACTGGTGCTGTTGCCGTGGTTGCTGTTGCTGCGTGTTGTTACTTGTGTTGTTGCTGAACCACTGACATTGGCACCTTTAGGTGGTCACAGGAGAAACATTCAGGGAGTTGCATGATCTGCGGCGTGGTCACGTCTCCAAGAGCCCTGAGGGATGAGCCGCCATTGCAGATTCTGCTCGCTCTGTTCGTGAGTCAAATACAAAACCAACATACACGCACTTAAATGTGTGCTTGTGCAGACCAAAATTATGTACATCTATAGATAATGCCGATACTCTTACTAGCGGAGGGTCGCACGCAGCCAGGGGGACTTCAGGCTCTTGAAGTGCAGTGCCTGCATGCTTCCCTGCCTAACCTAACACCTGACCCTGGTCTGCAGGCCGCAGATCTGAAGCATCAACTGAAGGAAGCCTTGGCAGAGAAAGAAAGGCGAGTCTTGGTTCCTTTATAAACCCAGTCTTTGCTTTGTCAGCTCACGGCTTTCATAAGTCCTGCCCAGTGGGCCCGGGACTGACTGCACGTATGGCGGGTGCCAGCCTGCTGTACTGTTCCGAGTAGTCCTTCTTAAGTTCTTTCCGCATGATCTTTCCACCCTGTACATAGGCGGCCGTGTTTAGAATCCGAGCCACCGCCTCCCAAAACCAGTCTTCAGCTGCAGTTGGACTTGAGTGCCCTTCACTGAGCCCTAAACCCGAATGGTGTTCAGCAGGCTAACACTCGAGAAGATCGGCCTGGAAGTGGAACTTGAGTCGCAGACAAAGCGCTGCGAGCAGGACGTGTCCCGTGAAAGAACATGCTTGTGAGAGCATGATGGTGATGACTTGATGTTGTTGTTGTTGTTGCTGCTGTTGCTGCTGTCGATGAAGATATCGATGATGATGTCTGCGATGATGATGGTGGAGATGAAGATGACGACAACGATAATGATAATGATCTCTTGTCGTGCATGCTAGCAGCACTTGCTGCTGCTGCTGCTGCGGCCGCTACTGCAGACGATGATGACTGTGGTAACACTGAAGTGGAGTATTTTCAGTAACTATGGATTCCAACAGTGACGATGATGGTGCAAATCATGGCGGTGGTCTTGATGACGAGGAGGAGGATGACCACGTTCTTGTCGTTGATGATGATGGCGGCGCTGTCGACCACAACTGCCACCGCCGTCATCTTCGTCATCTCCAACGTCATCACGGCATGAAGACCGCATCATGATAATGTAGGGGCCTCACTAATTACCTATACTATTTTGAGGGTTCCTTATGATAATTTTAGTCAAACCATAGTATAACGGGCCCCAAAGTACCCTGTTCGAATTTAAATGAAGCCCCCCCCCCCCTTTTTTTTAAGTCCCGGTCCTAGCGAAACCCGGAGCCTTCAGGAGCGACGTGAGCTCCAGCGCCAGGGGATGCCCCAGCCCGATGAGATCGATCTCAGCTGTCCGATCCTTGGAGGGAGAAGGGTTTAGGGTTTTTATGGGTTTAGGGTGTTTGGGGGTTTAGGCCGTTTAGGGATTTAGGGGTGTAGGGTTTAGGGGTTTGGGGGTTTCGGGGTTTAAGGGTTTAGGGGTTTATAGGGGGTTTAGGGGTTTAGG